CCCCCCCCCCCCCCCCCCCCCACGTCTGTCTCTGCGCCCCCAGCACACAGGCACCCCTGGACCCAGACCCCAGCTCTGCTGGGTCCCTCTTCACCCTGCCCCACAGGCCCAAGGCAGCAGCCTGGCTTCAAAATTAAGGGTTTTGTCAAGAGCTGGGGGGTTACTTTTATTTGCACGCTCCCTTTGCAGCCCTGTAGCTGCACACACCTCTATTGGCTGTGTCCAGACTGGCCAGTTTTTCCAGAAAACCAGCCGCTTTTCTGGAAAAACTTGCCAGCTGTCTACACTGGCCGCTTGAATTTCCGCAAAAGTACTGACTTCCTACCGTAAGAAATCAGTGCTTTCTGCAGAAATACTATGCTGCTCCCATTCGGGCAAAAGGGCTAGTGTAGACAGCTCAGATTTGTTTTGCGCAAAAAAGCCCCGATCACGAAAATGGCGATCGGGGCTTTTTTGCGGAAAAGTGCGTCTAGATTGGCCACGCTTTTCCACAAAAAGTGCTTTTGCGGAAAAGCATCCTGCCAATCTAGACGCGCTTTTCCAAAAATGCTTTTAACGGAAAACTTTTCTGTTAAAAGCATTTTCAGAAATTCATGCCAGTGTAGACATAGCCCTCGGGTTCAAGCTTTTCCTCTGGCATGCCATGGGCAAGATGAGGGTGGGCAACCTGCAGCTGCATGCAGTCCTATGAGTGGCCCGCCAGATACTTTGTTTGCCATTGCCACAGGGCATCACTAAAGTGACTCGCACATAAAGCAAAGGTGTGTGAAGTGAAGTGTGTCCTGACTGCACACAACACTGACCATAAAAACAAGTAGTCCTGTGGCGCCTTAGTTAGGGTTGCCAGGGTTTCAACAAAAATACTGGACACACTTGACATTACATCACAATCTACATTACATCTTATTTAGAAAATACTGGACATTTATATTTTCTCAGTTTGTTTCCCGAACAGAAAGCTCAAATACTGGACCGTCCGGTTCAAAACCGGACACCTGGCAACCCTACTTAGGGTACATATACAGAGCACCATTATTTCGGAGTAACTGACGTTATTCCAAAATAACATAGTGCGTGTCTACGCTACAAGACTCGATTTCGAAATAATGTTGAGCTGGAGGACTTCTTACTCCGACTCATGGTAACCCTCATTTCACAGGAAGTAAGGGAAGTCGGACGAAGAGTGTTCTTCCTTCGACTTCCTGCTGTGTAGACAGCGCCAGAAGCTGAATTAGACTATTTCGACCTCAGCTATGCAATTGCTGTAGATGAAAAGCTGCGTAGCTTAATTTGACTTTAGCCCTGCTGTGTAGACGTACTCTTTGAGACTAACAAAAATATAGATAGTATTGTAAGCTTTTGTGGGCAAAACCCACTTCATCAGATAATGAGCCGCAGTGAGTTTTGCCCATGAAAGCTTATGATATTATATACAATTTTGTTAGTCTCTCAGGTGCCATAGGACCACTCATTGTTTTTAAAGTTACAGACTAACACGGCTACCCCTCTGAAACGTTGACCATGAGAGTTGTGCCTATCCTCTGCATCCAATCAAAGTGCTGCTAGGGTTCGAGCGACACATCCTACACATTTTATACGCAAGCACAATGAGCAAAACCACTGTATCCCAGGAGATCATCTTGCTTATGACAATCTTGCAGCCCACTGAGATGAAGGAAGGCCACTTGTGTGGCCCACTCACCAGCTTTGGTTGCCTATTGCTGGACTAGAAAGAATCTTACTAGAAAGAAAAAAAAGCCTTGAGATTCCAACATATTCACATGCATCCAGGAGCTGAAGCTGCAAGGAAAACATCAAACATCACCAGACTCATGATCACCAGACTCTGCCCAGCTCCCTGAGTTAGGCTCCATTTAGCATGATGGCTGTCGAGCATTGGCTGTCGCGGCTCTGCTGTATTGCCTTGCATCCTTGAAGCTGGAGGTAGCCATCCAGGCAGTGTGAAAGTGAGTTGCTCAGGTATAAGTTGGAGCTGAGTTTCAGTCTGGGGGGCTGCCCCATACACTCACTAGCTGGGGTCCATCTATATAGCAAACGTGGTAATAAAAACAAGTGGGTGGCTAGACTGAACCAATCCTGCTATGCTGAAAGTTTATTCCTAGGCATTTCTGGAATGGCTCCTGCAGCCAGTGGTAACGGGAGCCTACGGTTTTTTAGTGATTCATTTCCGTAGAGTTAATCTCTGCCTACAGTGTACTGCCACTGAATAGGGTCTTTCTGTGTGTGACTTGGCACGGCCTTTTTCATACATTTCATGTAAGCCCTTTTGGGATATTTTTGCATTGCAGTGCCCCTGGCAGGTAGTTTCAGTTTATTTCAGTTTACCAAATTTCTCAGCGGCTCCTCGAGTTTCTTGCCCCTACACCCAGCATTATAAATAAGAAAGATGGTGGAAGATCTAGAATGCCTAGGGAGGGTTTGGGGACTTATTGCATAAGAGTGGGACTAAACCATAGCATGCTCAATGATATGGGCCAAATTCAGCCCTACTGAAACTAATGGCCTTCTTTAAGACTAATTGAAACAAATCTACAACCCCCTGCAAATAGGCCTTTGTCAATTGTCTCCTATGTCTTCATGGAGCAAAATTCAGTGCGTTCCTTTCCCTTTCTACCTGCCATGAACAATGTAATGAAGGTTGGTTAGGCTGGGGGTAAGTAGGGGTTTTTGAACTAAGGGAGGAGGGAATATGTAAGCTGTGCAGACCATGTTTGTGGAGCTAGGTAGGGAATAGAAGATGGAGGTTTCCTGTTAAAAATGAGAGGTGGTAACCTATGTAGGATTGTGATAAAAGGGGAAATATCCTGATTCCTCTTGAGACTGTCAGTCAACACAAAGCCACCCATACTGGAACATGAGCAGTTGACATCACATTAATATTAGCTGAGCCTCCATGACCTGAGCGGGCAGTATCTGGGGCAGCAGCATATTTGCCACTTCATGTAATTTCAGTCTGTACTGAGAGGGCATCTAGCATCTAGAAAAGACACCCATTGATGTAAGCTGCTTAGAGACCTGTACCCTCCCCCCCAAAAAAAGAGATCGTTTTACGACTTCCAGACACAATAAACCCACACTGGAAAGCATAGAAAAAGAAACACCTCTCAAGAGTGGGATTTGAACTAGAGCAAGTGAGTCAGCATCCGGGAGATTATCCTAGCTCCCTCCATTTTCATTACAACAGCAGCGCCTGTGTGAATATGCACAGGGTAATACTGTAGATGTCTGCACTTTCATTTCACAGAAGACAGCTGCCTGGGAAAAAGGGACTGTTGTGTACTGGGAACAGTGAAACTCCTGGTTGCTGATTCAATCAAAATAGGACATAGGTTGTGCTCTGCTTCTGTGTTTACTAGTGGCTGCTCTCATGAACAGAGGCAATGCAGTTGAAACCTGCAAACATTATTAACAGTGCCAACGTTCTGGCTGAGCAAAACCAAACACCCTTGCCCCGCCCCTTCTCAGAAGCCCCACCCCCACGCACGCCAATCCCCTCCCTCTGCCACTTGCTCTCCTCCACCCGCATACGCACATTTTCACTGGGCTGGGAAGAGTCCCTTTTCGACCAGGTGTTCAGTTGGAAAGCTAAACGTTTCCTGTTAAAAATGAGGACTGTGGTAAAAGGGGAAATATCCTGATTCCTCAGGGGACTATCCCCTGTCAGCTGTCAGTCAACACAAAGTGACCCACACTGGGACATGAACAGTTGACATCACACTAGCATTAGCTGAGCCTCTGTGACCTGAGTGACCTCGGAGGCTGCAGCTGGTGAGCTCATTTGGCAAACTGAATTAAACTGACACGACCTGCCAGGGGCACCCAACAGGCTCCGCACTTACCCGGCGCCATCCCCGGCGTGCTGGGCAGGACAGCCAGCGGTGCAGCACCTTTGCGAGGCGTGCTCGGCGGCCGCAGCTGAGCCATG